TAGAAAAATAATTTTTCTATTATATTTTCTAATAGAAGTTTATCAGTTTTTGTATTAGTTTTTGTGTAATTTAAATGAGACCAATTAGAAACTGATTAGCTAAAATTTCTTCACACTATTCGGTCTTTAATCAGTCTCACCAAAAACTAATACAAAAACTAATAAACTTCTATTAGAAAATGCAACAGAAAAATTATTTTTCTATGACTTTATTTATTAGATAAATACCAGTTAAAAATGCTAATTTTTTATAAATCTTGCTCAAAGTCAGCTGACAATTACTGCGGGACCAATTAACATCTCTAGCTAATCTAATTAAGGTTCGTCTATTAGTTATTATCATTTTATCTATTTCAACATTTACAATTTTAGTTTTTTCTTTGTATGATATTGTTAGTGAAAATTTAAAACTATTAAAAGAAATTGAAAAAGAAATTGAAAGAATTAAGCCAGATTACTCTTCTACTGAAAAAATTAATTCAGCACAAGAGTTCTTTTAGAAGACTGTATATGTAATGTCATCAATATCTCTTAAATATAAGAAAAATTAGGAATTTTAATTATAAGTAGTGACAATTGTTTTATTAGAAAATTATTGAAATAAATAGATTAAATTGTAATATTTTCAAACATTATATTAAGAAAGACATTAAACTTAAATTTTTTGAGTAATTGCAAATAGTCTTGAATGTTTAAGTCTGGTTTAATTTTAGAAAAAAGTTTTAATTATTATATAAACTTATTGAAACTAAAATTTATATAAGAGTTATTTCTATTATAACGGGGTATAATATTTTAATTTTTAATTTTTAACTATCACAAATAGTTCACACCTTTAACTGTGACTCTATGAACAGTTCGAATTTTTGATTTTTTTTTCACACGATTTTCTATATTAAAAAATATTAGATTGTTAGGAAATAAATGAGAAATAGAATAAAATTTCGAGAAAATAAAGGTATAATTGTTTTGAATAGTGGTTCTTATGTACATAGTTGTTTGAATAATAATAAATCTTTTGAAACTTAAAATAATCACCTTTAAGTAAATAAATTTGTTAATTAATCATTGCGAATTTATTATAAATGAATAATATAAATATTATTTGACTAGCCACATGAGGCCCTAACCCCAGCATTTTTCATTTGTATAGATAAGCATATCAGGAAAAGAAAAAATATTCAAGCACAATTTATAATATTCTTTAACAAATAAACAAATTAATTTGTCATCTACAAAAAAAAGTTAGATATTTATATTACTTTGACTTTAATAAATTGCATAATTTGCTTTAAAATACAATTAATTCTTGTATATTGTATGAATAAATCTGCTCGTATGAACAAAGAATCAAAAAGATTTGTAAATATAAGTTTTTCAAACAACTGGTACATATTTCAATTTTTGTAATCAAGAGAATTGTCTTTTTAATTCTCTTCACACCAGGTATCAATGAGTTGTTTTATCTCTTTAATAGTAGCTCTTTCTAAATGTTTTGTATTCTAACAATAAACCATAAGATTAGTATAGTACTTTGGTGTTGCTGAGTCAAAAGGAAGATACTTATTTTTATTTAGAACTAATAGACTTGATTATTTAAAGAAAAATATTGAATTGAGTTTTTTAATTAGTGAAATTCAGTAATATTCAGTCTACTTGAAAATTGTTTAATTTTACTCAAAAATTAAAAATTGTATAATTGAACTGTTTATGATTTATTTAATACAACATTTGACTAAATTCATAATAAAAATAATATCCAGAGCACTTAAGTCTTCTTAAAAATAATTTTTATTAATAAATTTAAGCCTATAATATAGGAATTTCAATTTTTCTTTAAAAATAATAATAATAATAATAATTTTATATATTTGTTTTCTACTAATCATTATTTCAACACCTGGGATCACTATTGGATATAATTTTATTAAGATTATTTTTTGAATTTTGTATAAATAAGAATTAAAAAATTTTAAATAGGTAAAACATTGGCAATACTGATTGTAATAATTACAAGATTAAACATACACATGTTCTGAAACATTTAACAGTTCTTCAGAAATTAAAAATGTTATTTTATTGCTATCCAATGGTTTGATTTTATTCGCTATTTTTTCTTGTTGATCTTTCGCTACCATCTTCAACCATAAAGACAAAAAATTAATACGATTCTCTTTTATAATTTCAGATAACAGCTTCAAGAATATTCTATATGCAAATGGATTATTAGTAGTTTCTGAGAACAGATATGTCTCTTTTATCTTATCTAATTTTCTCTTAATTTAATCAGTAATTGCCAAGATCTGAACTCAGTACTATAGTCAAGCTAGCTTGGAAGTGCAGCAACTTTACTACTTTACTAAGTCTTCATACCCTGATTTCGATAATAAATAATACTAAATAAAACTATTAAAACATATTTTTATTAAAAAAAATATAAAAAATTTGATAGTTTGAGTAATTAATAATAGTTAGATATTAGCAAGTCTTGTATATATTGAATTTTTAAACAATTTTAAAAATATAAATATATTAAAAACTTTTAGTATTTTTAAAAAAACTAATCTTATTAAATCTAAATAATATAAAATATTTAAAACTTTAATGTTTAGTGGATGCTTTTACTATTGTTGCAAACTCAATTGGAGAAATGAAAGATAGATTAATGAGGACATTAATAGAGCTTAAAAAAGGAGGCCTGAAACTTAAACTCTCTAAATGTGAGTTCTGCATCAACAAAACAACAATACTCAATCATGAAGTAGAATATAGAAAAATATAGAAAAACGCTCTAAAAAGCAAGAAAGTAGATAAATTCAAGACTCCAACTTCTAAAAAAGAAGTACAACAATTCTTAGAATTTATGAACTACTTTAGATCATATATTTATGACTTTGGGAAAATAGCAGACCCACTTTATAAACTAATGGGAAATAAAGAGTTCCAATAGGACAATGAATGCACAAAAGCATTTGAACAACTTAAGGAAGAAATGAAAAGAGAATTAGCTCTATCATTTCCAGACCCAAAACAACTATTTTTTATGGAATGTGATGCTTTACAAGAAGCCATAGCTGCAATCTTATACCAAGAAGATTTTGAACAACAACATTATAAAAAAGTATCTAAACAAGAGATGCTTAAAGAGGAACTTAAAGACTATTCTAAACCAATCAAATCAGGAAGACGCATAATAGAAATAGGCTCAGTAGGATTAAACGAATCACAATGCTGTTGGCCTAGTACACAAAGAGAATTATATACAATATACGTATTCCTAGAAAAATGGAGACACTATATTGGAACACAACAAATACACATTTATACTGATTTAACGGGAATATTATCAACAAAATCAATGAAAAGTTGTACAAATCGTACAATGATGAATTGGATTTTACAATTACAAGAGTATAATTATATAATACATAGAATAGTAGGCGCAGAAAACTATGCTGCAGACTACTTATCACAAGGAACAACCGATGAGTTACAACAATTAGAAAAAGAAAAAAAAATATTAAAAGAAATAAAAAAGGAAGAAAAAACTAAGCTTCAAAAACAATTAACAAAAATTGGAAAAGCAAATAAAGAAAATGACTCCTTAAACGATCCAGCTAGAATAATAAAAGAAAAATGGAAGCAAGAGATCAAAAAGAAACAAAAATGATTACCCTAATCATTACTACAACTACCAATTACTATTAATACCAGTACAAACAGAGTCACCACAAGAATCATGAGATGATAAAGAACTATCACTACAGCAACAATTATTAGGAGAAAGACCACAATGATAACATGAATAAACTGTGAGCTAATTAAAAGAATCTTCTAAATATTCGCAAGAATCAAATTCAGAGATTCGGAATCAGAATATTCAAATTCAACCAAACTAGTTCCATGGTCTAAAAGGGAAGCTAAAAAGGAATTAGTAAAATTCGACCAACATGCACCACCAACCAGAGCTGTGAGTTGGACACAGTTAGTCTACTAACTACTCCGGTACAGCAGTGCGTAATAATCCAATAAGACTAATCCTTACCCTCAGTGGATTCCATTTGAAAACTTGATTTATTAAAATCATCATCTGGAGAAAACGAAGATTTATTGTAAAGATCGCAGCAAAAATTATCATCATTGACGAATCCGTGTGAAGAGCCATCAAAATATTCAGATAAAAATGGTAGATTCTCCGGGACCACTCGGTAATGAGTCAAGAGAAATTCATTATATAATGAACCAATTTCCTCACCTCGCCCGTCACTCCAAAGAAACAGTACAAAAGACTGAAGTACTTTATAACGAGACTCTGTAGCTTCTAAAAGAAATCGATAAAAATCCAACCGTTGATTACAACATTGACAATTATTATCAATATATGACAAATCACTCCTATC